AACCCTAAACCCTAAACCCGCATCGGACCCTTTTTTGACTTTTTTTGACCTGTATGACCTTGAATCAGGCGCTCTTCACAGAGTGAGCCCTACTCCTGCATCAAACTGCAGCTCCAAACGTCTCAGAATCATATAATGTCCCTTAAGCCCAATACCCTGGCCCNNCCCAAAAAAGTTTAAACTTTTCTTGTAGTCGTTGTTTAATATACCAAAAAGTTTAAAGTTTACCTATTGGGCTCCTGAGATGCAGGGGCCTTAATAATTTGAATAGGGTTTGCTCCTTAAAGGGCTACTATAAAGGTTTAGGATGTAGGGGCCTGAATAATTAGAATAGGGTCTTGGGGCCCAGTATATTACAATTATTATATTCAGGAGCCCCCCCAAAAAATACTAGAGGTAATTATCTAGGCCCCTATATTGCTCCGGTATAGCCGTCACCTGCAGATACTATGGCCCGAGTACCCAAGCATTCGGTGCAAAGACTCTCCCGCCATCGCACCTATGCAACTCGGCAAAGTTGCCCTGCCCTGGAAATCGCAAAGCAGCACGCAGCTGTTGGTCCTTTGCCGTCGGTTTGAACCCACAAACCCTAGCCTTAAACATCCAAAACTTGAGCCCGAAACCTGAACCGACTACATGCCCAAAAGGCCCACAGCCCTGTTGCACCCGAATCCGTCGTAAGCCCCTCCACCGTCGAGCCCCGAAACCACAAATGCCCAAGCCTCAAACCCAACCCTTTCTCTGTTTCTCTCGTTGACAACAAAAGCCCCATTATGGTAGTTTAGGAGATGTTCCTTCACACCGCCCTAAACCCTAAACCCAAACCCCCCAAAAACCCTAAACCCCAAGCCCCCAAAACCCTAAACCCCAAATCCCCAAAACCCTAAACCCCAAGCCCCCAAAACCCTAAACCCCAAGCCCCCAAAACCCAAAACCCCAAGCCCCCAAAACCCTAAACCCAAAAACCCTCAACCCTAAACCCAAAAACCCTCAACCCTCAACCCCAAAACCCCAAAACCCTAAACCCAAAACCCCAAAAACCCAAAACCCTGAACCC